CCCAACCAGTCTTTTCTGCATATCCATTGACTTGCCTTGCTACAGAAAATGTCACTAAATGTCACTGGCTCTGAGCCCAAATCATTGCCCACTTTCCAAGCTCTATCAATGGATTTATTAAAGATATTTCCATGTGTGGACTTTGCTTTTTCCTCATATACCAATCCCACTGGAGGCAGAACAATATACTATGCTATTGCATGTCAATCGATATGATGATCATGTTCCTGTGTCAGCCAATGGGAAAAAAAAAGGGTGCTTGTAAGGTCCTGTAGGCATAAAAAAATGCAGAACATGTCACCAGGAAAGGGGAGTCAGGTTTATAGCTATCCTAAAGGTATAAAATATTCTATTACCAATACACATGTGCAGACATTCTAGAATTTACTTGATTACAAAATAAAAAGCTAAGGCATATTATCATAATAGCAAAAGAAATTAATCTAACTATGCTTGGGATTTGTTATGATTCAATCAGCAAAAGAAAGGAAATCCAGGGTCAGAGTTCACCCCCTCCCCACTGTATATCACAACAGGTTACCATGCTTAATTTTACCCAACTATGTCATATTGTGACCAAACGTTGGAGGCTTGATCCTTAACTTTGATGTTTTTCTCTTTTGTGGAAGTAAGCCAGAACCACAAAATTTTTTAAATTGCAGTGCTTGACTGAATTGAATATAGTTTTTCTCTGTGAAAGTAAAACCAAACAGAGAGCTTTTGCCCTTCCAAGGGATGGGTTTTAAATTGTCTTTGACCCCTTTTCTTCATATTTGCATTGGTTCTGGTTATTTGATTAAAACCGTAGGAAATGTAATTCAGACAATTCTTTTTAAAAGACAAACAAGTAAAGTGATTTCCCCCCCCCCAAATATCTCTTGCCTTTTTTTATAAATGCCTTCCAGATTTAGCTTGGCATTCTTACATAATTCAGGGTTATCTGAAAAATAATTCAACTAATACTTTACCTTGGCCCTGCTTGTTAGCATTTTGATGTATCAGTATTAACTGATTTTAAGTGTTAAATCAGTTTTTAGGAATATTTGATACAAAATAGGGGGTTTGGAAATCAAAATCAACTAAGTATATATACACACATGTGTATACATGTATATACTTACATATGCATGCATGCACATGTACATACATGCACATGTACATATATATGCGTATGTAGCCCACTGAATTTAATCAACTAGCCACATACAGTAAACACGTCAGTCATTACTTTAAAATTCTATTGACCTTAGTGATAACTTTTCCTGAATAAAGGATCTTGACTTTAGCCACACTGAAACTTAGTGAGTTTAACAAAGTATTTTAATATAGCAATGGCTAAATTCAAGAGAACTTCACAGAGGGAGGTTTCAGTGGCTGATATGAAGGGAGGAAGTTTTCGTATCAATAAATATGGTGGCATCTGACAGGTAAAATGTTGTAATAGTCCTTTGGGTGCTACTTTCCTCCCACTAATGTGTTGTACAGTTTAGATAAACACCATATGCCTGTCCATAGAATGAGTTGGAAACCAGTGTAAATAGAGAGAGTTAATTTTGCAGCCTTGTTTTCCCTTATATTCCCTTTATCCCTGGGCTAAGGGTTAGTGGTATGTACAGAGTATGGAAGAAGGAAAGAACCCCAGGGAAAAGGTGGAAGCAAAGAGTCAACAAAACTGAAGTGAGGAAGAAAGGAAAGGTAGAGAAAGTGTTGTGAAGAAATTATGTGAAATAGGAGGCAGATTAAATACACTAGGGAATTGTCCAGTGATGCTGAGGAGATGGTGGTGTTCCAAAGTGATAGCAATAAGAAAGAGGAGCAACTCTTACGGAGATGTGGTAAACCAAACTGTAAAGATGAATTATCTCCATGTCTAGAGATACACAGGTAATGACAGCACAGGAAGGAGATCTGGAGCGAAAGGAAAAGAATCAGGCTATCATGTATTATTACTCACAGTTAGAGAGCCAGAACTAGGACCTACATGCCACCCTGCTCCTATTGCTGTGCCCCTATGTGAGGCACAGTAAGGGAAAAGAAGGGAAGTAAACAGCTTCGCTTTTAAGTCTACATGTCATCTTCAATCCAAGCTTCAGTCCAGTTCTTCAGCTCCTTCTTAGCTCTAACTGGACAGTATGGCTTAGCTGGTCATGGTGCAGATAAGCCTGCAACCTCTTCAGAGAACAGCGGGTATATTTAGGTAAGATGCTGCAGTTGCTTTCTGATGAATGGAGGCTTTTATTCTCTCCCATATCCTCTTCAAGCTCTCTTCCCAGCTTCTGAACTCACCTTGCTTTGCCCTTATGTGGGGATTGTGCTCCTAATGCTGAGCCAGACTGCCCACACTTCACCCTGTCCGCAGTGTTTCTCTAGTGTGGGCTAACAGCAGTCCATGGCAATGATTTATTTTAAACTAGGTTTATAAACTGAGCTTCTCTCTTCCCTTGGGAAATATTAGTAGATAGAGATTGTTATGTAGCATCTGTAGTTTCCAAGTATCCATATGTAGGATGAATTAGTCAAAATTTATTCTGTGACTCTGAGTTTACACTTGGCAGAAAAGATTGTTTACTTATTTGTAGCAGTATAGCAAGACCTTTACCCTATTGTTTGCAAGCTTTAGCCAGCAGATGAGAAATAGAAATGACTTCAAATTAATACTTGAACCAAGCTCATTTATGACTGAATTAAATTACAGCTTCAGAAGTAAATGTCAGAATTTGCTTGCACTGTGCTTCATTGTCACTGCTGTATTAAAATTTATGGTGTTAAAGGCTATCCATTTAGACACACATAGTTCTCTGTCAGCAGACAAGTAACTGAGTTACACGGACACATCCTGAGATTCAGATGGAACTCCAGAAAATCGGCTCCAAACAGTTTTTATGAATTGATTTCTTTAGATACAGAGCAGTGATGAGTGCTCCATTATATCAGAGGTAAATATGTTTCTGTGGGAAAAAAACCCGAATATAAATACAAATGGATAGCCCATTTTCTACATGGGCAGAAGTACAAAGTGTGCTTATACTATTTTTCAGGAAAAGTCCTGGGCTGGTCTGTCATTTGTGAAAATGGTTCCATCTTTATTCCTTATGGGTTTTGTATTTAAGAACCTAGGATTAACACCAATATTCTTTTTCAGCCTTTAATGAAGGAACACCTTCCTACCAGTGGAGAATGCTGGAGTAAATAGAACCAAAGTAAACAAATGTTTGCAGGTCACCATATTGGTTCTGTTATTAACGAAAATATGGCCCAGAATAATTCCAGACAGATTCATTGCAATCTGTGTCTGGTAAAATAATGACAAAATACTCGTAGTTACTCAGTTAATAATGCCAGAATTAAAACTAAACGTTATTCATAACAAATATCTTAGCTAGCTGAATCTATGGTGTGTCAGTGACAGCTATAGTAAAAATTAGAAATACTATGGGTTTTGGGCTTGGTGTTGGTTTTCTCCCTTTCAGAGAATTCCCAATGTCTGTTTAATTAGAGGGAATCCAGTTTTCAAAAATCGTGGGACAGTTCTGTGTAACCAGTCTGCTCCTGCCTGGTTCACTGGTGCCAGCAGGAAGTAAGCATTAAAGCTGGGTCTGTATCCCAGGGCCTCAAACCCTCACTCAGGGAACAGCTTCGAATCCAACATTGCAGGTTTTCCTTGGGAAAAGGTATCTTCAAAATAAAAAATGTTTAGTAGACTGTAAATAAGAAGGTCTAAATAATGGTCAAAAATGCTGAACTGCATGGTTTATGTGAAAAGAATTGTAAGAATTGTAATATTTTCCTCAAAACTGAAGGAGTGGAGGGATTCAATATTTTATCTTAATCCTTGCTTAGATAAAATGGGCTTCCAAGAGTTTAGCTTCAGTTCTAAACTGGCAGTGAAACAGACAGAAAGAAGAGAGGAGAAGGGAAGTTCTTTCTAGCAAATTTCCATAAAGCTGCCTTACAGAACTGTGCAGTGACATAGCAAGCTACATTATCAAGTTAAGCAACTGAGTCAGCTTTGTGTCTGCAAAGGTTTCCATCTGAAGGCAACTTGCTCTTATTTTGATTTCTGTGTTTCTGAAGCCAGTGGGACTGTTTCCTAGACAGTGCATGGAGTAAGGGAAACTGCATGAACTCTAGCTCTTTTGCTCATGAAAGTTTCACAGAGCATGGAGGCTTGCCTGAAAACACAAATAGCAGTTATGAAAATGATTTACATTCAAACAATGAATATTTATGGAAATGCTAAGAGATTTGCATCATAATCACACATAAATTAATTTGGAATAGGTAAAAACGAATGAGTCTCCATTCTAAATTTCAATCCATTTTCCTTGGTTTACTCTTGTTTAAATTATTGTTGCTCTACAGCCAGTTTTCAATGCCTATGTAGAAACCAAGGGGAAAAACATTAGACCGCAGACAGGTATAGGACTCCAGGCCGGAGGTTCTCAAGCAAAGTAAATACCAATACCAAATCAGAGTCTGTATCTCTTTGTTTAGGATATGCAGAGATAATGTTTCCAAGTGAGAATTTATATCCTACAGTCTGAAACAATGATTTTGATCCCAGTGACTGTTAGGCTATGACAGTTTGTCCACCAAATAATGTTATTTTGTTAATAATTAACAGATATATACCCATACAGAAAGCAAAGAAACTGTACTTAATAGATCATTTCAATAATAAAAGAATTAAAGAGTATAAGCAAGATCTTTTTTATAGGAGTGGTCCCATTTATATCAATGGAATAATTTGCCATGATAAGAGTTTAGAGGATCAAGTCTGTATAACAGCCATCTGTGCTCCTTAGGTTTTATCCTCAGATGACATTATTTTCTAGCAACAGAGAGATAATGCCACGTTGACAGGTAACCCAACCTGTTTCCAAACAGCATGCCAAGTCACTGGCCGCTTGGGTATGATATTTGACTGCAGTTGCTTTCACACTTTGATTTATTCTGCTACTCTCACCAGTGCCCTGTTTTCCCTGTGCAAATTCCTGCAGACACATTAGCATGGAGACTGTCACATTGCTTGTCCACTTGTCACAGCTGAACTCTAAGCTATTCAGCCAACATCCTGAGACTGACCCCAACAAGGTGGTGGCTCTACATGCTACCTCCTGCGTTGAAAACATGGTAAGAAGAGCCTTATTGTTGTAGCAGTTACTACAGCAGACACCACAAAATTGCTGTTTCTGTGAAACTATATCCTTATTAAGGCACCAAATGTTGAGCCTTCTGCAAATGTTTTAAAGATATGCAAAATAACCTTCACTACAGTATATTACTGCTATTATTATACTTAATAAACTAATCCATTTTACAGATTTTCCCTAACAAATGTTCAAAGGGAGTCTAAGACCAGACTGCAGGATTTGGCTTTTCCAGAAGCCACAAGTAACAGTGGTTTTTTTTAGGCAGCATTCAAAATCTATAACCTGTTTCTGATCAAATTACGATGCAGTTAAGGATTATTTTTTTTTGCCAGGCAACGTGTCAAGCTTTATTTTAGTTGTATTTTTTAATAGTTTAACTTGCAATTCAGAGAGGCTTTTTCTTAAAACCGTATTTTCTTAAAACCCCTCCCTTTCACAATGAGAGCATAGAGAGAAGGTAAGAAAGCTTAACAGCAACATTTGTAAAAACTTATTTGGAATCAGCATTATAGAATCTGACTTGTTGGATGTCTTTGCTAAAGACAGGTTTCCCCAAGAACCTGGGCAGAGAATTAGATTTCTAGAAAAGGGTAGCATAGAGAATAGATAAGAAGTGAAACGTCAACGGATGGAGAAGGGCTCAGGCACTATTTCTTTCCCCAAGGGCTTCTCAGATGTGAACTTTCTCATGAAGTTGCACAAGTGATGCAACGGGAGAGGATTTCAGAATAATCAACAGATTCATTTCACTCAGAGCAAGATGTTACTTCCCAGCTGAGTGCCCCAGGCACCTGGTAACAGGCTGTCCTGGACTGCGACAAGCTGTTTTCCTTCTAGGACATTTCAGCCTCATCTGAATAGCAAGTGGCACTGAATCAGATAAAGAAGCATTACTGACCTATTTGGTAAGCAGCAAGACACTCCCTGGTGTCTGGGAAACTGAGATTCAAATTTCTGTTCCAGAGTGGAGTGGAGAATGTACAGCACACAGAAAATCACAAGAGAGGTAAATAGTGAGGAGCCAACTCCAGCCCCTCAGGAGCTGCAGCTTGAGTCAGGGTACCTAGAAGTTAGCTGATGATCATCTTTAAAGCCTGGGGACCACAAGTTAAAAACAGAAGTACAGGCTTATCTGTGTAGATGTACTGTGAACCCTCATCTCTTGCAGGAAGATTCCTGCTGCTTCCCAAAGTGTCTTAAAGGAAAAGGTTTGTTAAGGACTGGAAGCAACCAAGGTAAGTATAGAGGAAAAAGACTTCACCCGGTGCAAATCTGCTCAGTCAACTCTACCCAATGTGCCTACCAAATTGCAAGACAAATATAGGGAGAAATATGGTGAATAGTTTCTGGATTATGTGTAGTGGCACTATGATATCATAATGATATTTCAAGTAGTTTCTGAGTAACGCAAGGTTATCACATAAAACTGTTGCTTTAAATCATCACAGTTTAGCATTTTAACATTCTTCCTATTGCCTCCTATGAATGATGTGATGCAGAACAGGACCTGCTGCTGGAAAGAGATAACTCAAATGCTGTGCATGAACATTGAAACTGATCTTTCACTGTCACATCTCTGCGGTACACAAGAAGGAAATAAACCACCAGGAAACAGTAACTTTGACTTTCAGAAGACAAAATGCAGCATAAAGCCATAAGGCTTTTGCTAGGATTGGATAAGCTTGGATCTAGCGCTGTGTGAAGTTCACAGCTTTAGTTTACCTATGCTTCAGCGAATTTTGCCAGTAGGCTGTTTTGCTTTGCTCGATTTCCCACCAATAAATTTCAGACTTATGTGTGCTGGAAAATCAGAGCTGGTGCTGAACTTAGGCAAATTTTGCTTTTCCCTTGCACATTACCAACACACAGTTAATCCCCTGCTGTCTCTGACAGTGTAGGGAAATAGTAGTATCACATATGCTCAGAATCATCACACAAAATGTTTAAAGAGCAAACAAGAAAAAAGACCTACTGCTGACTTAATATGACCTACCGCACTTGCAAGGTCATTTACCTGTGCTGAGAGAGAGCATACAAGTTTTTTTCTGGATGAAGGACTTGCACGGCTGGTGGGATCTTGAAAGCTGCAGATCCATGCTTGCCAGCCATAAGCTTTGCTTTGTAAATACATTCCTCCCACTTACCAAACAGCAGGCCATGTTATTGTTTCAGGTTGGGTCACCTGTAGGCAGAGCTGTCCCAGAGTAACAAAAGGTGCAATAATGTGTGTTTAGTTAAATCAGGTAATCATTTAAACCAGCACATTGGAGCTGGATCAGGTAAGATTACAATCAATGCCCACTCACTCCATTGCACCAACAAAACTCTTTCAGATTAACTCCTTCCAGCTTCTATACGTAGAGTACGTTTTCTCAGAAACATTTCTTCTGGCCCTGAAGTCCAGAAATGTGACCAGAGACCGCCACAAGTGAGACGTGGTGGCTGGTGCATCACAGTGTTCTGACATGAGTGTTAGGCAAATTCAACATGTCTGCTGGAATGATTTAGCACTCCAAGTGCAGTGATTAGCGCACCTATAGCCTGAAGTGGAGGTTTCTGCTTTCCCAATGTAGACTTTGTTCCACCCGTTCTTCATGTCCCGCACTCACAGCCCTGTATGACCAAGGCAGTGGTTTTGAAAGAACGTTCAGTCTCCCAGCGTTGCTCATGAACAAGTATTGTGGTGATGAGCCTGCTAGAGCAGATTAGGTAACTAATGGCATTTCAAATCATCTTGCTATTTTTTGTCAAATGACTATATGGTGCATTTGGCTTGTGCAAAAATTACTGTTCAGTGAGAGCTGTAACCACTAGAAGGAACATTTTTGAAAGAAAGTTTATATTTCCTAGGAACCAAAAAAAGGAGATGACATTTTCCTGTATCTATAAACAACACAATTTGAATAATATATTTTGCCAATAAAGATGTCAAAATCTTGTTGAAAAATGAATATGAAATCTCTTCTTTATCAAATCATTCATATTCCAGGTTTTCCAAGGGAGCCAGCCTAGGCTTTAAGATGTATTCTTTGTGGAAGAGAGAATAATTATTATTCATCTCGCTCTCTGAAAATTCAAATCCAAAATACATACACTGGTAAACAAATTTTCCTGTATCTTCCTAGAGGAACCGAATCCATTGATTATATTAAATGTGAATGTTTTCTTGACCACTCTCCCACAGTGTAGAGAGCAATTCAAATCATGTTTCCTTGAACATTTAGCAGCTGGCAATTGCTGGTTGCAGACTACCTGCCAAGAAGACACTGTGCATACAAACAAAATATACAGTATTATACACCTACTTACACGTACAGAACAGAAGACAAGTTTATCCCTTCATTAATATCAGCTTTCACAGTGGTGGAATGAAGTATCTTCCTAGGGAATTGCTTCAGCAGTAAGTTTACCGCTATTACTGACTTTGCAGGATCCATTTCTTGGAGAATGGACAGCAGCGTCCAGTATCTTTGTCTACGGTGACTGCAACAATAAAAAGAATTGGTCAGATGAGTATTGAAAATGCAGTTTAAATGTAGTACAAGTTTTTATTTTAACCATTCTAGCAATATAGACAGGATACATGTATGCTGTCTGTCTAATCATCCTAAAGATACGGATTTTCTACAGGCATTAGTCTGGTGGGTGCAAGGAGTAATTGCAATCACATTTATTCTGCAATGGTAGTTTTTTTGCCTATTGCTCCTTTTTATGTCACATTGAGAATACAGTGTGAAAGACCATAGCAAAGCAATACTGTTGCACCACAGTAGGCATTAAAAGGCCATGTAAGTATATAGGCAATTATTGTGTAGTACAGTGAATAGGAAAATAAAACAGCTATGAGTCGGAAGATGGCTAGGGAGGAAAGAGTTCACCATGAAGAAACCTAAACTTACTTCTGGAGCTTAGCTACCCCTACTGAGACAATACAAAGTCCCTCCTTTGATGGGGGCCCACAGTGATGGAGATATCTTCTTGACAATACTAACACCAGGGCTTCACCAGTGGTGAAGATAACCCAGCCCACAATCACATATTGCCAAATTATTTCTTAGTGTTCAGCAACATTCTTTAATATATAGTGGAATTCATTGCGCCCAAGTAACTGACTATCCTGGTTACTGCTCCCAGAGGTTCAAGGGTAAGTGTATCTAATTGTTAACTTTTACTTTGCCTTTAGCAAAAGTAGCTTGCATATATGCACAGCACTGCAGTTCCCTGGTGTCTCCCTTGCCCAATACATCAGCTAGCACAGCTGGTAGCGACAGGATCCAGCCGGCTGCAGGACTATGATCCTTTGACAGGGAAATATAAACAAAATGCCGTGTTTCCTTGGTACTTTCCCCACCATCTAGACATACACAAGCTAGGGAAGCCACAATTTGGATGTGGGCTGGTACATAACACTGCAACAATCTACTGTCAATAATAATTTTAAAATGGGTTAATTAAATGCATGGTATGAATAGGAAATAAGATTAGAGGTGACACTCAGACCAGGAGGCCTTTTTCAGGCTGTGGAAAAAAATAGAGCACAGTAATTTTTCCCACAGCCTGGAGAAGGCCTCATGTCCTAAATGTCATCTCTAATCTTGTTTTCTATTTCTAGTGTATATTACACTGCAGTGCTAGTGCCACTACAGTTAAAGCGATGTCAGGGTTTCCATTATAAACCCCTATATTCAGAGGTTTGTAACTCAACCATAAAAATTTTTCTCTGGGCTGAAACTTGGCAGATAAGTTTCACCCAAACATATTTCATTTTTAATTCCTAAAATTCAAAAAATATTTATATTTTCAAAAACAAACTTTGCAAGCCATGAGGCTATAAGCAAACACAAACATATGGAGAGTCTGAAGTTCCTCCAAAAGGATTGTTAGCAGCTTAGTGGGATAATTTTAAGCCCTTTTTTTTTTTTTCATTCCAAATACAGATATACCACAGTGGCATTTTCTTCTTAAAGAATTAACAGTTATGCAATCAGGTCAAATAATTTGATTTTCTTAAACTGTGAGTAAATAGTTATAGGACTGGTCAATAATCTGCATTTTATAAAGGCTCCTAAGTACATGTTTACATGATAAAATGTAACAACACTGCATCAAAAACAAATGACTCAACAATGTGCTTGAAAAAACTTAGTAAATGTGGTTACATGGGCCAATAATATGCAAGGTTTTTTCACATGAAGAGGGCCTCTGTTTATCTAGGAAAACCTTATTCATGCAGAAATAATCAGATGTGGTTCATCAGTCTTTCCTTTTCCACGCCTTGTTGTAATGAAAAAGTTGTATATCTAGTTTGGCTAAGACAGGAGAGATGCGATAGACAGTGACTAAACTTTGAAGAGCACACTATAAGACTGTGGAAGAATTATTCAAAGTGAGACTAAGGGGCTCTCTGGTCAGGATTGTAGCAATATCACAAATTATGACTACTGGGAAATAACCAGGAGGAAATCCTGCCAGATGACTGAGTAGCTGACAAACACAGGACAGCCCCATGACTGGGAATGTGAGAACTAACACTGAAGCAAGTAATAGAAAAATACATTTGAGAGGGATGGACCTAATGCGTGCATGCAGTTCTGACTTAATTTCTGTGCTGAAAGACACCACCATTTCTGTAAGTTAAGACTCTGATTTTGCAATCCAATCTTCACCAAGGAATCCTTTTGGAAAGTTTTCTGGAGAGGAATATCTGATTCAGAATGTACAGACGAAGAGACTGCAATCACTTTCTTCACCGAGGTCTAAATAACACTCCTGAATGGTAATCACATTGGGAGCATTGCAAAATTAGCTCAAGGGACAACCCAGAACTGCTAATAAAATCAGAGAATAAATTTATCTTCATCCCAAACTAGACAGACATCTTTGGTTTAAGGCATGTTTGTAATTATCTATTTATTCTGTTGACCTTTATCACATAGATGATAATACTACAATGTAATAGAAGGAAGACAATTAGCATTACTCTTTTTCATAGCCTAGCTTGAATTTTGTTGTAAATACTGGCATTAGCCCTGCTTCAGGTGTTCTTCCTAATTTATTTATTATAGATAACAGCTTTGTAATAATACTACTGTAGCTTCGGTTGAGTTCATGCATTTAGTTTTATAATCCTCATTTAAACATTACAGGGCATCTTTTGTAATCCCTAGAACAAGGACTGTTAATTTCACCAAGAATCACTTGAAACCTGGTCCAAATCCTGCTGAGGTGAGTGGCTCTCTTGCAGTTAATTAATTGGGCATGATTTTTTACTCCTCCTAAAACTCCAATAAAATCTCCATTAATATTTATGGGAAATGTAAGCATTCATTCCCTTTAATTAAATGGCTAAGCCATCTTTCATATCTTATAATTTAAAATAAAGATTCCTGATATACGTTTATATAGTATATAAATTGTTTTCGGCATATATATAAAGTGTATTCAGCATAAACGTATTCCAGTGCCTAGGCACTGACAGGAAGCATCTAAACATTTCTCCTGTGTCCAAACTACACTTCCAAAGTGTTCCATTAATTTCAGTTAAACTCCTGGAGTCAGGTACAAGATGGACATTAAAAAAAAAAGGCGGGGGGGGGGATTATTGTTGTATCCATCTACTAAAGGAATACTTACTGAATGTCAGCTACATTCCTGACTCTTACAGGAAATGTTATATCTTCTCATAATTGACCTGGGTTGTTAAGTTATAAGTGGGTAGCTACTGAAAGACCACAGAAGCTATTTTAGAAAATGTGACTGAAAGCTTTTTTTCTTTGAGAAAAGGAAAATGGAAGACTCTAATCCTAATACTGTACAGGGTGAAAGAAATACCTAGGAGATTTAACTCATTTAACATGCTTAAACACAGAAAAGTGCACACACTGTGGCCTAAATTCCATTCACCCTTCTCATGCAACAAACATCATTGGGTTTAAAGGGACCACATTTTTTGATCCTTTCATCTTTTTTAATGTTTTAGTCATAGTTGCAGTCTCAGCACTATGCTGCTCACAGTCTAATCACTGCAGCTTTCCGGAGGAACCTGAAATGACTTTCAACATTTAAGCGTTTAGTTGTCTGAATTTATGATTGTTGCTTTGCCAAGAGATCGGAGAACAAATCTGGGCTCAGTAAGATGGATAACTCCAAACACGCAGTAAACGTTCAGTGAATGAAAAGGCACCTAACACCACATTTTGTTAAGGAATTTACAGCAAGTGGCCTGCCTCTTCTCACAGTGGCAGCAACTGTATTATTCCTTTCACGTAATGAATTGGGAGGTTATGCTAATCTGAAGAGGGAAGCTATCAATTGTATATGTCCAGACCATCTCTCTCATTGATTTTGTAATTAATGATGAATGTACGTTTTGGGAGGGAGAGATTGCTGAGGAGGACACTTCATGTGCAGAATAAAAATGTTACAGTAGCCTAATCAATTAGGTACTGTTGACAAATGGGCTCAGGACAAGCACTACAAAGTATTGTGCTTTGGTAGTGGTCAAAGAGCCAGAGAGAAGGTGTTGCATGATATCTATATTAATATTTCCACAGGTTAAATGTGATCCATTGCAGCAGCAGGACCGTGGGAAAACTGGTATCTCAAAATCATGCATCTCTGATGCTAATGTGAAACCTATTTCCTGTGTTCCCCAGTAAAAAATACTGCAATAACGCACTAGATGCTGAGAATATTGTTTTGTCATTTTAAACCCGGTAACAGGATTGAAAGCCATCTAGAGTATAATTTTAGGTAACAAATAGCACGCTTTGGATGTAGACAACCAATCTTAAGCATCAGAAGAGGGTATGCCTTTGAAAGCAGACACTGTACTGTCTCTTTGGGTGCTGCCTGTACAGAGGTTCATCTTTCCATGCCTGTGACAGGCCTTTCAGCCTCTCATTGTAGCAACAGTTGCCACAGGTTGAAGTGACAATACATACAACC